AAAGTTTAGCATTCATACTATAGAAACTATGATTACATGGATGAAAAATAGATTTTGCAAATGAAAATACATAATAAAAATCCCATAAAAGCACTTAATCATACATTACAGTAAGTCTGACATATTTATTTTATCCCCCTTATCTCAAAAAATAGCTTTCTAGCATTTCTGAAGTTTTACATTTTTATCAATAAAATGAATTTCAAACAAGTAGTTACTTCTGAAACACCAAAAGACTTTTCTTATTGAGTTCCTACCATGCTTTAAACAACCATGAAATTCAAAATGCTAAAAGTCCTTCATGTGCAAGTCAACTTAACCAGAATTCTCCATCCTCACATGAATTATTGCACATGCACCTGGAGTACATATATAAGCCCTGCTTCTGCACCATAAGCCAGATATTGACCCAATGGCATGGACTTCATAGGTCACACCTGTAGGAGACTGCATGTCATCTCAAACAGGTTAAATTCTTTGCCTGCAATGTAAAAAGGAGCCCCCATGTGTCACACAGACAGTCAGAATGAGAACATGACTATATAACCACTTGCACACAAGCAGTCAGCAAGCCAGTACGTGTAGTATGGTTGGGGAACATTCAGACAGTACCTTGTATGCTAACCTCGACTCTACTCAACAAATTGTGTAAGACATACTCCAGCTGCAAAAGAAGGGCACTTAGTTATTCAGTATGGTTTTCTATAATGTGTGCTCAATTCTACTGAACAGACTTTGGCTGCAGGAAGAGGGCAAGTGGTATGTTATGGTTTAACACTTTCGTGAAGAACTTCGTATAAAACACACGAGTTCGTATACACACTTACACGTTACGTATTTATGCTATAAATTTTAATGCAATATGTGTATTTTCACAAAATTTGGTAGACTTTTAGTAAACCTTACAGGTCTTTGGCATACAAAAAATCTGATTTTTTAATGAAGTACTTTTAATAAAGATTTGTTTGTGAAGATATTGAGTCTGTTTCATTACTAGTCCGAGTGCGAAGTGATTTACATGTTGTGATTATAAAAACTATTCTTCATCCCAAAAATCTCAAATATAATTTGTGTAATCTTTACAACCTCCTAACTACATAACAAATGTTTTTTGAGTAAAACTTTATATTTTATCTGTTATTTCTCTATCCTAACTTTATATGGGGTTGGTCCATTTGATCAATCTTGTAACCACTATAAAAAATTAGGAAATAAATATGTATTATGCTTTTTTTATTCTAGAATGACTACAAATTATGACACAAAAACAAAAATGTTTAGTCTAAGTAGCTTAAATCTAATAACATTATTCATTTATATATATTTATTATTTTTATTATATAAACCTTTTCAGCCATGCCTGGCTAATATTAGAGAAGTTACAATGATGCAGCACACGTGCACTCGTGTTACCTGGGGACTCAAATAATGTTCATCACTTTTAGTATCTAAAGGTAGTTGACAAGGCCACCTTATATCAGGCAATTGTGAAAGATGTGAAACCCTTGTCAAAGAGCCAAGTTGTGGTTGGCAATTCTGACCAAAGTGGGTTCAACCTCCTTGCAATTCTTCATTGTTGATATGACTGCCATTTCCATTGATAAATGTCCATCATGGGACAATGCAAAAGACTGAGACAAATACATGACAACCTTAGAAGTTAAACCCTGATGCCATGCAAAGGACTGCATAACCTCCATGCATGAAGCTTGAGCTATTGGATGACTGGATGTACAATGTCAGATCATGGCTGCCTCAACAGAGATGGCCAGAGAGGAAGTGGAAGAGGTGGTCACTCCTAAGTGCTATAGAAGTGGAAACCAGGGTTGAGCTGGCTAATCTGGTGCTATCAACAGAACCCCACAAGGGGTTGAACGAATCATAGCTAGTACTCTGGGTAACATACAGAGGTGCAATCCTGTCCATTCCTGACTGAAAGCATCTTCTGCAAATGCCCAAGGGTGAGGTACTGGAGAAAATGCCATTAGTTGAGTGTTCCAATGAGTGGCAAATGCATCGATCGTCAGTGTCCCAACTAGGAGCAAATCAAATGGAAAACCTCACAATTCAGCATCTATTCTTTTGGGAGAATCCGGTTGGGTTGAGACAATTGATCTGCCACCAAATTCCTCACCCCTGGAACAGGGCAACCTAGTAGAATGATATAGTGGGAGTGGGCTCAATAAAGAAGTTCCAAGGTCTGAAAACAAACAGACCTGGACCAAGTGCCCCTTTGACAAGAAATGTAAGACACCACCATGGAATTGTCGAAGTCGAAGTGAAGCATGACAACTTTATCCCTCAATAAGTCCAGACTTGGAGACATTGCCCTTTGAACAGCAAGAAGTTCTAAGACACTGAAGAATAGGGAAATCTCATCATCCATCCATATGCCATGGAATTCCTAACTGTTCAGATGTGCACCCCATCCCTGAAGCAAGGCATCCTTGAAGAGGATTTATGGACAAGGTGGTGGCAGGGGAATACATATCATAGTATTGTTCTGATCTCACCACCACTCGAGATCCTAGACTTTGATTCTGAGTAAGAGACTAGTGAATCGCTGTTCATGATCCTTTAGTTACATAGAGACCATGGAAGGGATCTCCTCATATGTGCTTGTTTCAAAGGAATGAGGGACTTGTGTGATGACCACATCCCCAAAAGAAAAAGAACCATCCATGCAGTGGGAGAAGGAGATATAAGTAAGAGTTGGACTGCTTGTTTCATAATGTGTAGCTGAATGGGAGTCAGTTGAGCCCAACTGAAATATGTTTTGAAAAAGACACCCAGGTGGATGATATATTATGTTGGAATGAGAATAGATTTCTTGGCTCTGATAATAAAGCCTGCCTTGGTTGGTTCTGAAAGTAGAATCTGGATGCGATGTTCTGCAAACTGATGAGATGGTGCCAAAAGTAACCAGTCTTCCATATAATGGTGTGTGCACAGGCCTAGAGCATGGAGGTGACAAGAAAAAGCTCATACTACTCTGCGGAACACATATGGTGTCAATGCTAGTCTGAAATGCAGATCCCTCAACTGCAGCACCTGACCCCTATGCACAAAATGCAGATAATGGTAGGATGACTCTGCTATGGGAACATGCAGATAGGCATCAGCAACATAGAACTTGGTCATCTACAGTCCTAGCAAAAATGACTCCATTGTGAACCTTGGAGGATCTAGGAATTGATTTAAGATGATAAGATTGATGACCGGATGCCAATTTCCTGTCTTCTTAGGCACAATAAGCAGATGAGAAAAAAAACCATGGAAGAACTGGGAAGACTCTCTTTACTGCCTCCTTGACCAACAAATCTCTGATACCCGTGGAATGAAAATCCAAAATCTGAGGATCTGCAGGAGGCAGAAACACTACAGGTTGGGTGGATAATGGTGGTGAAGATGTGAACTGAATGACCTATACTACCCATAGATTGATGGTAATAGTTTTCCAGACATCCAGACTTCTCAGAACCAAGCTCCCACAGACCCTAAAGGCATACAGTAGTCAGCAACACCACTGGTGCCATTCTGACCAAGCAGAGGAACCTCATGAAATGGGCAGAATCTATTCTTGGTACCAATGGAGTGAGGGCTGATGTCAGGGATTGGGACACTGGAATAGGAGCAAGAACTATGACTCACTGTAGTAGCCAAAGAAAGTCAAGAAGCCAATGACACCAGGAATGAATTCAGACAGGCGACATCAATCCTTGATTCCAAAGACTATGGAATGCCCACAAAAAATCAAGGATTGGAGAAAGGAGCCTCATATAATTCATGGAGGGCAGCAGCCAGTAGACAACATCCTCCAACAACGCATCTCTACTCAACAACACACCAGCTAAGAAACTAGGGAAAGTGCAGAAGCTGACAATCAAACCATGGTAGATGCTAACAATGGTGTCCCAACTCATCTACAAATTGATGTGGCAATTGCTGAGAGGCTTCCAACAAAAGTTGGAAGGATGATTAATATCTTAGCACTGTAGTTAAGGTCAGGTGAATCCTAGAAAATTGTGATATATTCAGGTTTGACCACAGACTCCTTTATAGAACCCCACATTTCCAGGAGTGAGTCTATTCTTTGAGATTCTAAATACTCATCTACCTGGCAGTGGGAAGCTAAAGCATGTTGTTCATGTAACAGAGCAGTAATCCTCCCTGCATGAACTGCAATATCAGTGGATGGAGGGAGAACTAAGTATTTGTCCTCAGACCTTTCCACAATCAAGAAAGACACAGACTCAAAAGCAACCAGAGAAAGATCCAAAATATCACACACTTGATTTAACAACTGAAGAAAAGGAATTGGAGGCAGCTGATCCCAAGTTGGCCTCCTGAGAAGCCGACAGAATAAAGGAAGACATTGGAAAAAAAGTGAAACTAAATTCTTCACACCTCCCCGAGTATTGATCAAAGCTAGATATCAGAGGTGGGATAGGAGAGACCTAATTTGCCTCTGTGCCAGAAACAGTAATCTGGGAATTCATGCCATGTATTGGATTGCCAAATAAAAAAAAATATTTTTTTTACAAAAATCAACTAGGTAACGTAACACGAAGAATGCTCAAAGTACCTCCAGAGGTCATTGTACAGAAAACTTATTAGCAAACACTTTGTTGAGAAAAAGTGATAATATTATCTGAATGAGGTGCTTATACACAGTACTAGAATAGAGGGCACATTGATATAGGTGGAGAATGTCATGAAAGTAATATCACCAAAGGCAATTAAGTGGTAAATAAACTGCAAAAAAGCAAGAAAAATCGGACCAATGCTAAGACGGGCAAAGGAAACCCTAGCAGTCAAGTAAAGCTGTAGT